TAGCATTTATTTTAAAGGTTAACCGCACACAAATGATGTGTCTGCCGTTCTCCACGAACTAGGCGTACGAGGAGCCTCGGCGCGCGAGGGAGCGGATGATACTTATCTATTTCGATGCACAATGAGTCCGTTTGAATTTACAGAGAAAAACTATCCTTATTAAGTAGGCAAGACTCACAACTAAAACTCAACTAGGACTCAATGTTTGGAACCACCGCATGCAAGCAAAGTGACCTCCGTAGCAACCGATCTGCCATACAGCTAGGTTCCAGCGGCTCTTCTCACAATCGGGGTTGACGGGCAATCGGTAGACATCTACCAGCCGACAGAATGTACTAAAATATATATATATGCAGTTCCATCATCTACAAGGCTTGTTCAATGATGGCTTAACTGCACGCGTTCGGGTGGTCTGAGTGAGCGGAGAGCGAAGCCATGCTCAGGCGCATATAGAGTGCAGGCGTTGCGGCTTACTCCCCATCTTGAATTGCTTTTGAGAAATAGCTCAGTACTCCAGGCATTCTTATATATATATGTCGCTCATCTACCGGGGAATATCATTGAACAAAGTACCGGTAGCAGGCTCTTGACCGTGCCGCTCTTGAACAGGGATCGCTCCAATGAGTATCTCTTGATCAACTAGTGTTACTAGAGGATTCATGATTTATTTTACCTTGTAGTCGTTAGGATCGGCCCATGCCAGCACCCGAGGAGATCGACTGTAGTTCCGATCCACCGCTCGGATCACCCGGCTGGCTGTTACATACATCATATCTTCTGCTTCGCCCTCATGTCAAACCACTCCCCCTTTGGCGAAGATCCGCCCGTGCAGTCGGTGTCCTATGCAACAACCCCCTTCGCACCGTCGGTTCTTCCCCTCGGCCCTAGACATGTCCCTTACGTAGCCCACACGCCCGCTTCAAACTTCGGCAAGAGGAGACTTAGCAGCCAACATAAACAATTGGCTCTATTGTCTTGCACGCTGCTGGTAGTGTTCGTAGTTGGAACGCACCTTTGTCGGCTGAAGAGCAGCGGTGGGAACAGGGCAGTGCTGACGAGCAGGAGGCTGGCAGCAGCTGATGGAGACAAACTGAGAATGCTCGAAGAGGCCCTTCCGTTGGAGTTGTGCGAATTCATCATTGCGTCAACCGGATCTTCACCATCGCCGGTAACTTCAGCTGTGCCTTCAGTTCCATCAGGGCAGACAGAACTACAGAATGGAGAGCCAAGAAGAAAAAGGAAAGCAAGTCACACCCACCAGCAAGATACCATGGCACCCGGAGCGTTTGAGGTGTTTGAATACTGGACTGAGTCTTCCACAGCACCAGGGGAGTTTTGGGGGCCGCTTTCTGAAGACGCAGGTAATGGATCAGAAACCCAGGAGCAACAGGCGAAGAGGGCGAGAATTGCCGAGTGGAGCATGGATCCAACTGTAGATTTAGAAATGCTTTTGGAAACTTCGCAGAGCATTTCTTCAGGTGCATTCTCTGCAAGGGAGCATCCGTTTGCTTTCAGCGCTGGAAACGGCCCACAGACTCCCGGGGCGGCGAATCCACTACAAGCAGACATTCCTACTTTAGAGGCGTTTCCGACTGTTTATGGGTTTCAAGATGCGTCTGAAGGGTCGTCAAGCAGTTACTGGCAAGAAACGGTACACACTGCGTATACAGAGCAAAATACGAGAGAGATGTTAGCGTTTGAGCGGCAGCTTGTAGATGAGTCACTCTCCAGCAATGGCAGCAGCCCGGTGGAAGTTGCCGCAGGCAATAGTGAGCACGTTCATGCAGGGGCCATGACAGTAGGT